GGAGGTGTTTGGTAAGTTGGAGTGGAGGGAGAATCAGATTATTTTGGAGATTTCAGAGTTGGATAGGAAGGTGTGGAGGGGATTTCAAGGGTGGAGAAGAGTAGAAGGGAGGAGTGTAAGGTTGAGTTCGAAGAGATTGTAGTGATGAAGTTTCGTGGAGACAGAAGTCAAGAGCATTGTGGCTTAAAGAAGGGGATAGAAATACTCAGATTTTTCACCGAGCTAATGCTCATAGAAGAGGGAATAGTATGGGGAGGATATGTTTTGATGAGGTTATGGCTGAAACTGAAGAGGAGATCTGGACAGGTTTTGTGGCATTCTATCAGTAGTTGTTTACAGAGTCTGTCTCTTGGAGGCCGGGAATGGATGATATTGTGTTTGAAAAAATTTATGATGAGGATAGAGGGGATTTGGAGAGGTAATTTGGGGAGGAGGAAGTGTTGGAAGCTTGAAGGAGTTGTGATGGAGATAAAGCTCCAGGCCTTATGGATTTACAATTGCATTTTTTCAAAAGAATTGGGAGGTGGTGAGAGAGGATGTGATGGGTGTGTTGCATGTTTTTTTCGAGGAAGGGTGTTTCGAGAAGAGTTTGAATGCCATTTTAATTACTCTTATACCTAAGAGGGGGGGAGCGGTTGAAGCTAAGGATTTCAGACCCATTAGTTTGGTGGGTGCGGTTTACTATGTTACCCGGACTCGGGTACGGGTGTCAGACACGGGTACGTGTCTAGAGGTCGGATCCTTCTATCTATCAAATTATCGGACACAGGGACACGAATTTAAAGTATCCAAAAATCAGACATGGACACTTGGACACCGCATGCAAAGTATTTTCACAATGTTGAAATGCATATTATACTTTCTTCTTGTTCCATAGTTTGAAAAGAGATTGAATTTGTAAGTTAAAACTGTTTAAGTAACTAGGTAACTAGGTTAAATTTTTTTTTGAAATCCTTTAAAATGTAATAGTAGTATATATAATATATATCGATGGTGGGTTACAACTGTAACCAACATATTATAAGTTTATATAATATTATATTATTTGTAATAAACAGTTTAAAGCAGTGGGCCACATTAGTTACGGCTTATATGGGGTAATAAACAATGGTAATAAATACTGTTAGTGGGTTATAGCTGTAAGGTCGTAACCCATTATTTATTACAAACTTATGTGGGTTACAGCCCACCCACGTGTACCATGTCAGACAAAAAGAACTGAAAAGCAAAGAAAGGTACAAGCGGTGAAGATTCAACGCAGAAAAGAGGGGGCGCTGATAGCAAGTCATCTTCAACCTTTCCTTTCTAAACCCTATTTTGAACCAGTCATAACTAGACCACCATAAACATACCTTGAGGTGCCTAAACAGATGAAGACTGAGCAGCCATGTCCGACAGAGAAGATGGAGAGTCCGACACATATCCCGTGTCTGTGTCGTGTTGTGTCGACACAGACACTTTCGCCGAAAACGGCGAGTCCAGGTAACATAGGCGGTTTATAAGATAATTGCGAAGATTCTGGCTAACAAGTTAAGGAAGGTGATGGATGGGGTCATTTCAGAGTCTCAAAATGCGTTAATTCTCGACTCGGTGCTTATTGCTAGTGAATGTATTGATGCTAGAATTAGGAGTGGTGAACTGGGGATTGTATGTAAATTGGACATAGAAAAAGCATATGATCATGTGAATTGGGCGTTCCTATCGTATGTGTTGGAGAGGATGGGGTTTGGCACAAAATGGAGGGGGTGGATTCATCAATGTATTTCGACTGCTCAGTTTTCTATCTTAGTAAACGGGTCGCCAGCAGGTTTTTTTTGCAAGTTCGAGAGGTTTACGTCAAGGGGATTCATTGTCACCGTTTCTTTTCATTATTGTAATGGAAGCTTTTAGTAGACTCATGAAAAGGGCAGAGGTTCTGGGATTTATTCAAGGTTTTACAGTGGGTTGGCGCCAAATCAGATGTGTACATCTCACTTGCTGTTTGTTGATGACACTATTGTGTTTTGTGATGCTAGTGTGAATCAAGTGAGACACTTGAGGTGTGTTTTGGCCTGTTTTCAAGTGGTTTCGGGATTGAAGATTAATATTGGAAAGAGTGTGATTGTTCCAGTAGGGGATGTGGGACATATTCATGAGTTGGCAGCTATTTTGGGTTGTGGAGTGGAGGTTTTTCCTATTTCTTATTTGGGGTTACCATTGGGTGTTTCTTCTAGGAGAGTTGCTGTTTGTGTTCCAGTGGTGGAACGTTTTCAAAAGAGGTTTTCGGGGTGGAAGAAGCAATATTTGTCGAAAAGGGGTAAACTTAGAGAATGGGAGAGCTACTTGGGATGTGAGATTTCGCAGAAATTTTAATGATTGGGAGTTGTTGGAGTTTACCGAATTAATGGGATTAATCTATAGTCATGTGGTGGAGGGGGAAGGAAGGGATAAGATGGTGTGGAAGGGGGGATTCTAGAGGGGTGTTTAGGGTGAGGCTGTTTTATAAAAGTCTTACGAGTTCGATGAGCAGTTCAGCTCCAAAAAAGGTGACTTTTTTCACGTGGACAGCGGCGATTGGCAGCATTCTTTGGATAATCTCATAAAAAGACGCCAAGTAACAGTTAGTTGGTGCTGTATGTGCAAGAAAGCCGGTGAATCGGTTAATCATCTCTTGTTGCATTGTAAAGTGATAGAGGATGTTTGGAGTCTGATGCTGAATGTATTTGGGGTGGAATAGGTAGTGTCAAGTAATACGAGGGATATGTTAGAAGCTTGGAGAGGGAATAGAGTAGATGGTCGGGTTAGGAAGGTGTGGAGGGTTGCACCTCTTTGTATTTGGTGGGGGTTGTGGCATGAGAGGAATAGAAGATCTTTCGAAGGACAGGAATTGTCGGTGTGGGTTATCAAGGCGAATATTTTGCATTCTCTTTATTCTTGGGTTAATGGGAAAAACTGCCCATCTGTAGATTGTTTTTTGGATTTTGTTGACAACTTATCGTTGTATTGATGCGTTTGCGTTTTTGTTTTTGTTTTGTAAGGGTTCGCTCCCCTCTGAGCGTGTTTGTTTATATACCTTTACTTATCAAAAAAAAAAAAAAAAAAAAAAAAAAATGCTCCCAATTGTGGAACTACCTACATAACTGCACATCCCAAGTCACCCTCCTAGTTTCAAGGCGATAATAGTCGGCAACCACAACATCTCTATTCACAGCAAACCGAAAAGGTTGAGAAAACCTATGAGCCAAGGTCAAGTCACCACAGCATATGTCCTCCCAAAACCTGACATTTCTTCCACTTCGAACCTTGAAACGAATGCATTTGGAAAACTCATCCCAACCTCTACGAACAAGTTTCCAAGAACCCATACGTGCTGGGGTCTAACCTACCTAGATTGCCACCCTCCATCTCCCTCCCCTTAATGGCAAGCAATAACGCGCCTCCAAAGCTTGGACCTCTCTTCCCTAAATCCTCACAACCACTTGCTTAACAGGGCCTTATTAAACACATCCAGCCTTCGAATACCCAAACCCCCTTTTTTGATAGGGGAACACACTCTCTCCCAGTTAATCAAATGGTACTTGAACTCATCTCCTAGACCACCCCATAAAAACTTCCTCTGAATATCTTCGAGTCTTCGAACAACTGTCATAGGCATCGGAAAAAGCGACATAGATTAGGTCAGAAGGTTTGCAAGTGTGCTTTTCAAAAGAGTAACCCTCCCCTCGTTCGACAAGTATTGCTTCTTCCAACCTACAAGCCTCCTCTCAAACCGCTCAACAATCGGATCCCAGACAGAAACCTCTTCTTGATGAGGCTCCCAAAGGGAGTCCCAAGTTGGAGATTTGGCAACCAACACCACAACCCAGAATATCAGCCAAGGCTTGGATCCCCTCCACTCCCCAACTGGGACAATCTCACTTTTTCCAATATTCATCTTCAAACCAGAGACAACTTGAAAACAAGTCGACACACATCTTAAATACCTCAGCTGAACAAGACTAGCATCACAAAACACAATGGTATCATCTGCAAACAGTAGGTGGGAGATGACTGACTGATTGGGTGCTCTACCTAGTGAGAATCCCTGAATAAAACCTAACTCTTCCGCCCTCCCCATCAAACGGCTAAAAGCCTCCATAACGATGATAAACAAGAAGGGGGAAAGAGGGTCCCCCTGCCTTAAGCCTCGAGAGCTAGCGAAAAAGCCTGCTGGGGATCCATTCACTATAACAGAGAACCATGCAATCAAAATACAGAAATAGATCAATGCCCTCCACTTTTGACCAAAGCCTATTTTCTCCATCAAATACATCAAGAAATCCCAGCAAACACAATCATATACCTTTTCGATATCCAATTTGCACACAACCCCCAGACTACCACTTCTTGCCCTGGCTCAATGCACTCGCTGGCAATCAAGACTGAATCCAGTATTTGGCGCCCATCAACAAAAGCATTATGTGAATCCGAGATTACCCCATCAAGAACTCTCCTCAGATGAGCGGCCAATATTTTTGCAATAATCTTGTACACAGCCCCACAAGTCTAATGGGTCTAAAGTCCTTTGCCTCAATTGCTCCATCCTTTTTGGGAACAAGGGTGATAAAGGAAGCGTTGAGACTCCTCTCAAAAGAACCATGCACAAAGAAAGATCTGATTGTTCCCATCACCTCAGTCTTCACCACCTCCCAAAGGGTGATTTACCGCTTGATTTGGTGTAGGTGTAAACTGTTACCACTAATGAAATGTCTGTTGGAATGTTTTTTGCAAAATGAACCCAAAGTTTATTTAATATTCTCTATTTGATTTTATAGGCACGTTATTTAAGTCATTTTAGAGCATACATTGACAAGCAATATATTTGATGACAATGTTATATTTTATATTGTGTCTGTCTTTCCTTTGGTGATTGTTTATCCTGCATATATTTTTTTACTGATATCCATTCTCTTAAATTTATTATATTTTAATATGAAATTAATAGTCACTACACACCAATTTATTTCTATTGTCGATTGCAGCGAGTTTGCAGACCCTGTTGTTGCTGAAGCAACCCTTGATTTTCTGAATGTGAACAAGAAAAAACTTCTGACTTCTTTTCCTACCCTACTCCCTCAGGTACATTCTGATATTTGAATTGCTTTTTGATAATATCAATACAGGAACATATGGTCTGGATGACGTCAGATTTCAGGAAAAAAAAAACAAAAATTGCAGAGAAAACTCGAGTGTATAACTATGTATTGTGATTCAATTGTTGAATGTGTTATTTTGATTAGAAACATGTGGATACATAGACTTTTAACTAGAGCAATAGAGGTAATTTTATTGTTCTTTACAACATACAGAGTTCCAGTGATCCAAGGAAAGTGAATTTTTTGCGATGGATTGAATTTTATATGGTTCAACGTTAGTTGGACCATACTTATCAAAAAAAAAAAAAAATGTTAGTTGGACCATACTGAGTTATGCAAGAATGACTTGAGTTCTTATGCTGCAGCCTGATTACTGTCTGTGTTAGGTGGTCCTAACAGATGGCCTGATTAAAACATGTATGTTCAGCAACTAAAACATGCCTGAATGGTTTTCATCACCATGCTGGTTCATGTTATTGTTGTTGGCATTCCCATTGTCTTCATAATACCATCTTAAATCAAGTCACTCTACATCGGTGCATTAATTGGTCTTTTTATATCATCATATCCTCCTAATTCAGTGTCGCCTCTAACTTCTTACAATTACTTCATTTCTTATTGCTAGTAAGTAGCTCATGCATGTTCACCAAGCTCATCCAAATACAAACCAGGAACATCTAGTTCTGTTTAAATGATTGATTGGACAGGCTAATGCTAGCTATTTGGTATCAGCTGAGTCCTGACCTCTATATGCACTATGCTTCTTTCAAACTTGAAAATTATAGTTACATGGGTTCATGTCATTGATAATTAAAAATTAAAAATTAAAATTATATCCGTGGTTATACTTTTATGGATAGTAATTCTCATTGCTTTCAAGAGCTAGATGTCAATAACTGCATCTTTTCTAGACTAATTCTGTTGATGATCTCTTAAATGTTGGTATGTGTTGACGAGAAAATATGTAGTTGTACTATTTATGACTCAAAATTTTCTTTCTGATTTGTGTCAATGATGGACTTTGGTTTTAAATTTTTTGTTATAAAATAATGCCCCCTTGTCTCAATAATTCATTTGCAGTTTTATCCCTTACTGCTGAAGCTGATTGCATGGAATGGAAAAACGTAAGCTCTTCTATGTCAACCTTATATTATATTTTTTTAAATAGAAATATTTAATCAAGCAGAAATACTTTTACTTTCTAATTAGTTTTATTTATATGAAAAACAGTGGAGGTTATATTGGGTGAAAGGAAATACTAAAATTAGCATAATTTTGATAATGTAAGTAAAGATACGTGAACGAGAACCAGATTTGGTCCGAGAGCTTGACGTGCATGCGTTTTGGCTTTACTGTTGGAGACATGGAAAAGATGGATAGAATTAGCGATTTTTGTCTGTTTATTATTAATTAATTATTATTTTAATGATGTTTTAATTTAGTTTATTTCAATAATTTGTATTTTAGGGCTTTATTTTTTGTAGTAGGAATTGTGGTGAAAGTAGAAATAGTTGTAAAAGTGATAGTTCCAGTATAAAAACAAGCATGAATGGTAGTGATTTAACTATAAGAGAAAGTTCTAATAATCTCAATGTACATTGTGAAAGACACCTTTTGATGATTAATTATTGAATATACAGAGATTACAGTGATTTCTGCCCCCTCATTCTTCTTCTCCCTTATTCTTCTTCTTCTCTCTTCTCTTTTCTCCATTCTCTTCTCTCTCATTCTTGGTCAATTTTGATATCGAAGCACCCCCACCCGTCCTACATCAGTTTGGTACCAGAGCGAAAGATTCAATTTTTGTAAGAGCAAAGGATCCAAGCGTCACACTTTTCACACCTCAAGCAAACCCTAGAAGCCATAGCCGTTGCCATCCATCACAACCTATCACCATCCATCAAGACCCAAACCCAAACAACGGTATACCCTCTCACAAACCTGAGTGACGAGTTGGTTGATGACAGGTCCAAGTCTATGGAGCTTCAGCGACCTAACACAAACGTGACACATAAGAGTAGAAGCGTAGATGAGACTGTTACTGTGTGTGGGGGGACGTGTTTTTCAACTTGGAGTCTTGGATTGAGTGACGAGTCAGCAACGATTTTACTTAAAGTGCTGCGTCTTCACAGAAATCTGAAGGGCTTGAAGCATCCTTTGTTTGATGATGAGGATGTGGACGGGTCCTGTTCAACAGTTTGGGGAAAGTTAGTTGATAAACTCAGGGAATTTAGGGAGGAGCTGCCACATTTCCTATTCAATTGCTCCATGGATTTAGCGCTTTGGGAAGAGGGAGGTACTGATGGGGTGGGGCTGTTGGAATTTTTGGCCGTGGTGTGTCCTGAGAGGGTGGATAGATGATGGGGTGAATGGGGAGCAACGGGTGAGGGAGAATATAGGGGATGCAAGTAAATGTTTGGGGGTGACTTTTTAAGGGAACAAAGATTGGGCGACGGAGTTTTTCTGATGAGGACTAGAAGGGGTTAAAAAGAAGATGAACCCTACTTGGAGGGGAGAGAGGAAGTTACGGAATCTCATTTCGTATATGAACTATGAAGGGAAGAACGGGGATGAGAAGGGGAGGGATAAAGGAGGGAGGAAGGGGGATGGGAACTCTATAATGTGCCCATGCAATTTTGCGTAGTGTCTTGGAATGTCTGTGGTCTTAATGAATTGGACAAAAGGAAGGTGGTGAAGTTGGTAATGCGGAAATGGGGCGCTCATGTGGTGTGATTGCAGGAGAAGAAGTTAGCCTTAGTCTTAGATACAGTGGTCAAAAACTTTTGAGGAGGGAGATTTGTGGAGTGGGAGGCTTTGGAGGCAACGAGCACCTCAGGAGGTATTTTTTTGATGTGGGATTGGAGATGGGTGTCTAAGTGAGATGTGTGGAGAGGTTGCTTCTTTGTCTCTTGTGATTTTTTTTGATAAGTGTTGTCTCTTGTGATTTTTCCATGGAAGATGGTTTTCAGGGGTCTTTTTCGGAGTTTATTGGCTTGTAGATGATGGGGTGAGACCTTTGCTTGTGGGAGGAGTTGGACTCGGTTCGGAGGAGACGGCTTATTCCTTGGTGCGTGGGAGGGGATTTTAACGTGATTAGATTCCCGTTTTAGAGATCCTTTGGAGGGAGGTGGACAATGGCAATGGACTAATTTTCAGAGTTTATTGATGGCTTCCAGTTGATTGACTTTCCGTTGGAGAATATCCATTAAAATGGACAACCTGCATGGTCGAGTGGCAAGCAGTCTCATACCATACCTCGTTTGGATAGATTCTTGCTATCCAGAGATTGGGAGGAGAAATTCTCGGATGTGATTCAAGCGGCATTGGCTATGCTTCATTGGTAATGATTTGCTCTCCACACATGATCTCTTCTATATAAACCCCCATGTACTCTTATATTACACATCTCATACATCAATACAATATAGAGTTCTATACTCTCTTTTATATTTAACATGGTATCAGAGTTTTTCAATCTCTGGTAAACAATTTACCAGTTTATCGTAGTCACCACCGGGGATGGCACCATTAGCCCCATCCTCGGCGGCAGCGGTCAACCAGCAAACTCACGCTTCCGCACTCCAAGATATCCATATGCCCCGCCAGCAAAGCCTCTTTGTCGAAGTCTTCTTTCGGGAAACCCAACAAGATGCCTCGTTTAGAGAAGCCCCACCTAGGGATGTCCCATATAGGGAAGCCTCGTTGTTTAACGAGATGCCTCGTTCAGAGATGCTCAACGTGTTGGATCAGCTACGTCACTGTGCCACCATGCACCTCAAGTGGTAATCTCACTCTTCCATACGCTTTCACGCGCACCAGCGGTAATCCCGCACTTCAACGTGTCGGATTAGCTCCGTCACCGCGCCACCACGCGCTTCGTCACCGCGCCACCACGCGCTATCAGTGGTCATTTTGCGCTCACACGCACCACTACACGCCATTAGTGGTCATGATGCGCTCACACATGCCTTCAACGTGGTGAATCTTCACAAATTCATCACCCATCAGTTTATAGTAGTTACCACCGGGGATGGCAACATCAACCTATTCACGCTCCGCACCTACCTCCAAGATCTTCACAGATCCACCCTACGTTACCTGGCATGTCAGCATTGTTGCAACGTCAGACACATTCTGCAATGGTGCCAGTACTTGTGCCACGTCACCTATCACGTCAGTTGCCACGCAGCAGATCCTCCACGTAGTTCTTCTGAATTTTGAATAGTATTTAAGATCATCTGTTTCCGATTATCTAATAAATCACTTAATGAAAGTAGATTATCTTTCCATTCATTTAAAAACTTCCATAATCCCTTCCTGAACCAAACATAAATCTTTTGATTCATTTGGCTCTCACGCTCAATTACTTCAATTACTTATGGTAAATTACCAGCAGTAGTGCCAAGTCACCTGCCACTTCAATTGCCATGTCATTAACCACGTTAGCATTAGTGCCACGTCAGATACATCAGGGTGAAAGGATTGTCTTTAAACTCAAGATGGCTTCATATAACCCACCTTGACTTTGAGGGGGGCTGTTAGAATATATTCTATAATATATTGTTACCATGTATTGTTAGAATATATTCTATAATATATCATTACCATATATAGAATTACTTTATATAGTAGCTGTCTTAACCTACCCTCATTACCATATATAACATTACCTTATATGGTAATGGCTTGCTCTCCACATATGATCTCTCTTATATAAACCCCCATGTACTATTGTATTACACATCTTATACATCAATACAATATAGAGTTCTATACTCTCTTTTATATTTAACATGCAGAAGAGGAGCTCTGTTTAGATTTAAGAACATATAGCTTTGAGTGGAGGATTTCAAGAAGAGAATGAGGATATTGTAGGAGGGATACACGGTGAGTGGCAGCCCGAGTTATATCCTTGTGAACAAGCTCCGTCTTTTGAAGGGAGATATCAAGACTTTCTAAGAGCTTGACCACAAGGAGGGGGTGGGGGCCTCGAGGAGTTGGAAGGACTACGAGGGACCGAGGTAGGAGTGCTAAGTGGAGACTGCTACGATGGAGGAGATCCCTTGGCAACAGAAATCTAAAGCCCTATGGCTTAAGGAGGGTGACCGGAATACGAAGTTCTTCCATAAGCTCACAAATGCTTAGCTGAGAAGCAATCATAGAGGGAGGATCGGGGTGGATGGGGAGGAGTTGTGGAGGGAGGAAGAGGTGTGTAAGGGGGTTGTTTTGTTCTATCAGAGGTTATATTCGGAGGGCTCTAGCTGGTGACCGTTAGTTGAGGGGTTTGGATTTTAATCCAATCTCCAAGGCAGATAGAGGTAGTTTGGAGGGACCTTTTAGAGCAGAGGAAGTGCTATTAGTGTTGAAGAGTTGCAATGGGGACAAAGCCCAGGGCTGGATGGGTTTACCATGAGATTCCTTTTGTAATCATGTGGTCGGAGCTTCTTATGATATCTGATGGAGAGGATAGGCTTTGGGGAGACATGGAGGAGGTGGATGAGTTGTATTTCTCTTCTCTGAGGTTCTTGGTTCTTGTGAATAGGTCTCCGATAGGATTTTTCAATAGCTATTGGGGTCTGAGGAAGGGGGATCCGTTATCTCCATTCTTGTTCATTATTATGATGGAGGCTCTTAGCCGGTTGATGAGGAGAGCCGTGGAGTTCGGTTTCATTAGAGGGTTCAAGGAGGGGCCCTTCAACTCAGCTCGAGATTTCCCATTTATTGTTTAAAGAAAATATTATTAATATGGGTTAATTTCAATAACACCCCTGAGGTTTGCACGAATCTTAAACGGAGACATCTTTCGAAAATAACTATTACTCACATTACAAATGTTTGGTTCGTTTTTCAATAACACCCTAAACATCACTTTTAGTAGTGTTAGAACACTTTTTGAATGTAAAATGACATTGTTACCCTTTTGACTTTGTGTTAACTTATAAAAAAATTGTTACCTTAATTACCCCATAGGACCCATGTTAAGTGACCAAAGAACCCATTGGAGTATCTGTGTATATATATAAAACTTTACAATAGTATCTGTTTTTGTTTAGATAAAACAATTCAATAGAACAACATTAATCATTTTATTTGTAATTTTTTTTTTTCTTTTGTCTATTTATAT